TCCTAAAAAAAAAAAAAAAAAAGTTCAAACAAATTACGTCTACAGGAGCCACAAATCTCATCTGCCCGAGACCAGAAGAATTAGATGGTGCCTGGCTAAAACTACTGACTGTTCTGACCAAGGTTACAACAGAGGTCCCAGGCAGAATGGAAGAAAAATGTAGAGCACAAATTCTTATTTTAAAAAAAGTCAGACAAACCGGCACAGTAGAGAACAGAGGACTCCCTGAGACTACTGCCGAGAGGCACTCTTTTAACCTAGAACCAAGCCTATCCCAAGATCACCCTTTAGTAAAATAGCAGAGTAGCATACAAAATAAAGAATATAAAACTGCTGATCTACTTAAAAACCAACAGTATGAGATCAAAAGGTCAACAATTATTCAAAAGCAAAGATGAGAAGGTAAGGGGGATAGGGAAACTAGAGTTCCAGAAATGGAAAAACAGACACAATTAAAGAGAACAACGTATATGGAAAATGTCAAGTGGGAACCTAATATGCTGTGTACATCTTCATCAAAAACTGAATTAAAAAAAAAAAAAAAGCAATTATTTGTTAAAGTTTAGAGCAAATAATTTTTTCTACCATTAAAAAAGAGGTATTTTTATTATGCTACCATCATATCAATGGGGAAAAACACTTTCCCTACATTTTCACTGGTAATTAATAGTGAAGAATCAGCACAGCTATAAAGCAGTGATTAACAGCTACAACTGCCTGCATTCAAATCCTTGTCAGGTTATATGACTTTGGGCAAGTTACCCGTACACTAATTTCCAATCCTTAATATGGATGTAATAATACTTCACATCACTGTGGTGAGAATTAAACAAATTTATATACATATAAAAATCAGTTAGGAGATGTACTGATATTCAAATAGTATAAGTCATTATCATTATTAGGTAATATACACTTTAGAAAAAGAAGGGAAGCAGAGTTCTAAGTAATGTAACTAATGAGAATAAAGAAAATTCAATTTAACTAGACTGAGGAATGAGAGGTAGAAAATAACGAGAAAACTTGGCAAATAAATTCCTGAATAAACTATGATTAAAACAACTTTCCCATTTAAAAATGAAGGGTCAAAAAAAAAAACTCACTGCCTTTGAGTCAATTTTGACTCATAATGACCCCACCTTGGGTTTCCCAGGCAATATCTCTATGGAAGTAGATTGTCTGGTCTTCCTTCCCAGGAGTGGCTGGTACATTGAACGGCTAGCCTTCTGGCTAGCAGTCAAATGCGTTAGGCACTACACTACCAGAGCTCCCAAAATGTAGTGTAGTCAATTCAAAATAGTGTGAAAGGTAATTTTCTAATAAATATTTTTAAATGGCAGCAACACTCTGTCATATATTTTTTTGTACTTTAAAGACAAAGGTCCCACCTTACCTTCCAGCTCGGCCTTTCCTTTGTTTGGCATTAGCTTTACTGACCCACTCAGCGGACATTGTGCTGATGTTGTTCTGAGTGTCAAAGTGCGTTTCTTTTATTTTCCCTCCATCTATCACATAAACTACATCATCTATGGTAATGCTGTTTGAAAAATAATAAAATATTAAAAACACATCAAAAGCACTATTAAACTATAGCTGCAGGCTTAATTTTATACTGGATCAAAGTGACTGATTTTAGCAGTTCAAGATTGTAACTCTTTTTCCACATTCACCAATGTTTCAGGGACAAAGCACCTGTAAGCAGCATCAGAAGCTGCAGTGGTAACACAGAGCCAGTCTGCACATCACAAGCTCAATTTTCATTTGCCCACAGCCAAACTTTACAGCTTGCCTAATGACTTTCTGTACTTAGCTCAGTGGGTCCCCAGTGACATGGTTTAATAACAGCTTCCACAGAACAATCTGCTTCAGGGATTGCACTGGTTTATTAGCACCTCTAAGGGAACACAAGAAATTTTAAAGGCTGTATATGATCACTAAATTTGTGGCAAACAGTATCACCTCTAATCAAAATTAGACAAAGGCACAAAATTGTACTCAGCTCCCTTGCTTCTTTATAGTTCAGGAAAAACAAAGACATTTAATAAAAGGCTGTTTCTGAAGGGGGTTAAATATTGTTATAGCTAAAAAAGAACACATGCTTGCTGTCACATTTAAGTTAAAAAAAGCTTAATATTTAAAAATGGTAAATTATAGTGAAAAAACATTAAGATATGCTAAGAATTTATGGGGGCACAAAATTTATCTGTCATAAGCAGTAAATATTTAAAATAATTTTACCTAGTCTCTGCAATGTTGGTAGCAATTACTATTTTCCGAACACCAGGAGGGGTTTTTTTAAATACCTGTGAAAATAAATACATCAAAACCCCAAATACATTAATTTCTGAAATATTTTTTAAATTATAGGAATTACTTCTTATACCGCTCATTTTTAGCATTTTGTGTTCCTTTATTGATATAAGCATGTAATAAAGATGTATTTGTAAGATACATTATTTTTAATCCTACAAAACTCTCTTTTGGTAAATCAAACCAAATCTTCACAGATGTCAGAATCTTATCACAAACAAGATCAACGATATTGATTATTTCAATTTATACAGTATATTTTTTAGTAAAAGCCAGGTGGTGTAAATGTCTCATTGTGTGACCAAATATCATTTTTACAAGGAAAGTATAGACTAAGGACAAGAATTATGAGGCACAACGTATATGGTAAGGACTAATTTGGGCACATGCCCAATCCATTAGAATGGGTGTCACCTGACATGCTGTGCCACAGTGTACTAGGTTGAGAGCTCACTGCAATTAAAAACAAACAAGCAAACAAACACACATTCTCCAAATGCTGAAATCTACAAACAATGCCACCCAGTAGAAAGAAGACATGTAGTCATGTACTATTGGCTGTAATGCACAAAAATATGAATCAATTTATTCCTTCATTTGTAAAATGCAAATCAACAACAACAACAAAAAACGTTCCCAGTCTAGTCACATATTCTCCAGTAAAGGAATAAATAATTTCCTGTTAGGGTATCAAGGAAGAAAGAATCTTCACAATGGTAGTACTCTTCTGTTCAGTCCTTGGAATCAAGAGTTCCCTTCCCTCAGCTATGTACTTGTCATCTAAATCACATGGCTGAACCTAACTCAGTACTAAGCTATAAGCAGAAAGGATAGTAAGAGTCTCAACAAATTGAGTAAGAGTCTCAATAACAATGTCTTGATATTTCCTTGCAAACAAGTAAGTGGAGAAATTGAAATAAAAGAGGTAGATTTTCTGGTCCATCTCATTCTAACAAGACCTGTAAATACTGCAGTCCACAAAACTATCTTGTTTCTGAGAATGCAGTGTTCATTTGAACTATGGAAGTCTGCATGTGAAGGAGCAAAAATGTAATATATTATTGATAAAATAGAATTATTTCTTACCTGTAAATACACTAATTTCTGTTAAATCAAAATCTCAAACATCACAGGTTATCAATTTCTAGGTTGAAATATCTTTATCCTGAAACTCACACCATTAAGAAACCCAAACAAGTTAAAGGTGAAACCAACTCTTTAAACTTTTTCCTTTGGAAAATATTACTTATTAAATTACCAATATCCTGCTTAAAAAATAATAAAATAGTACTCATCAAATAATAAAACATATACCCTAATGCTGATATTAGGGAGAGATATGTCAACATTAGGGAAAAGTTTAAAGAACTGGTTTAACCAATAATAGGGGAGTCTTGTGTGGTTCCAGTGATTAACATTCTCAATTGCTAATCAAAACACTAGAGGTTTGATTCTACTCAGAGATGACTTAAAGAAAACCCTGACACCTGACTTCCAAAAAAATAAATAAAAAAAAATCAACCTCTGAAAACTGCAGAGCATAGTTTTAGTTCTACTCTGACATAACTTGGGATCACCCTGAGTTGAAATTGACTCAAAGGCAACTGGAATGCTGAGGTGACCAATTTTATTTGTGCATTACCCTCTGTTATTCAAGTTTTTGTACAATCATCATCACCCAAAAGCTTATCTACAAGTGTTTTCAAGAAGTATAATATCTAAGGATTACTATTTGAAAATGCTCCTCAAAAAAAAGAAAGAAATTAAAAATACAGTAAGCAGTTCTTAAAGCTTGTCTCAGTTTGAAAGACAGAAACTGAATAAATTTACAAACATACCTGGGTCTGGTTAACTGTAGGCATCAGTGAATGCAAAGGTATAATAAGAAACTTATCTGAAAATTAAAAAAAAAAATTAAACAATTGCAGAAAAGTGTCTTTAGACGTTATTAGACAACAAATTTAGAAGTTAAGCCACATAATTCTTAATTTACATTTCTACATACCTCACACTAATTTTCGCTCTTTTTATGTTCCTGTTTTCTAAATGTTCCAGCAATTTCCAAGACATTTTATCTGTCTCATATTGATAAAACATTTTCTCCAAGTTCTCAAAGAAATGTTCAAAAGATGGAAGCAAACCGTTCAAATGACACATGTAAAATACAATTAACTCCACTCTTACTACCAACGGAAGACTTAAGAATTTTGCTTAGTATGACTGTTTGCATACTTCAAGTAATCTACTTTAATCATGAAGACAGTACCTGATTTTTTAGAACACATTATTTATAATAAAAAACATCCCCCCAAAAGAGACCAACATGTTTTTTAAAACATAATTTTCTTAGAAATGTATTAAATTATATTCCTACTCTATAAACTTTCAAAAGGAAACAGCTTGAGCCCACTCATGACTATTAGCCAACAGAGAAAAAAAGTTGGGATGTAGTACAGTTACAGGAAACCGGGAGAGTGTCAAGGCAGCAAGGGCAAATTTCCCGTTTATCTATGGCTGTTGAAATACAATCTGACTTAATCTATGGCAACAATGCCAAGTGTCTCAAATGACTCAAAACAACTTTATTTCCCCAGAAAATAACTGCTGTTATCCAAAAGAGATACTCCCCGTAAACTCTCTCTTACTCTTTGAACTCTAGAGAGTAGTGTGAAAAGTAGTAAAAAGTTATCAAACAATTGATGTCAAAATAAGAATGCTCTGATTTACTTGTCTCTGAAACACAAAATGAAAAATATCAACTATGAAACACTCAAGCCAAATATATTGAACTTGAATCAAATCAAGCCCTCAGATACAACTTCCAGCTACAGACAGAGGAAGGGTGATGTTTTAGAAGTAGATTTAAACATTTATCAGGTTCGACTTTTTCCAATTTGAACAAACCATCTGTGGAAGACATGTTGGGGATAAATGGGGAAATCTGATTATAAACTGGCTTACTGGATAATATTAAGCATTTGGTGCCAAAATGGCATTATGGTCATGTACAAGTAAAATTTTTAGAGATGCATATACTTAGATACATGTGATACCTGTACTTTCAAAAGGAAAGAAAGAAAAGACTGCAAAAATAATTGCTGTATTAAAGTTACAGGTATATGGAGATTACATGATTCTTTAGCTTCCTATTTGTCCGAAATTTTCATTGTAAAAAATTTAAAAAATTGTAGCAATAATGAAAGTAAAACAATTTTTTTAAAAGAAACTATAATTAGGATAAAAATAATTTATATTGATGATATTGCACAACTAAGGGAGTCAATGGGAATGAAGTCTACATACTTAAAAAAGAAATAAAGTTGATAAGCATTAGATTAAATCAAGTTTACCTTTTAGTCAATACAGTGTTAGATCAATTCTCTGCTCTATATACAGTAGCTAAGGCACAGTATAATAACTAATTATTAAGGCTAAATTTTTCAGCCATTTGTTTATTTAAGAAAACACAAATTCTGGAAAAGAGTTTCATTGAAAGGCATTGATACTTCCTTCTTTGATAGTAATTCAATGTAGAAAGTTAATGAAGTCAATCATGATAAACTATAATCTTACATTTCTACCCATGGCTCCAGAAATGATCACTTAAATTTTGGAGTATATCTTTCCTGTATTTTTCTTTGTAACTACAGATTCTCAATTATTTTTTTAAAAAACTAAAAATAGACAATACAATAATATTTTACAATGAGGGATGGAAAAGCTAACATTGTGAAGTCACACACACAAAATTTTAGTTGTTTTAAAAAAATAACTCAATGTATTTAATCAAAACTAATTTTTCTATAAAGATTATCATTGACAAGGAGAAGAGAAGATACTACTTCTTAATAGAGAAGTCAAAATGTTTCATCAGCTGGAGAATAATAAATAATTGTAATTATAGAGAATGCTTTGAGAATGTTACCATAATAGGATTTAACAAAGAATGAAAATGGATCACTGCTATCTTAATGTATACTATTAGATTTTCTAATGCATTATAAAAAGAAAATGTTTCCAAAGCACTTCAGCACCTCACTGCCATCAAGTCGATTCCAACTCACAGTGAACCTCCTATTGGGTTTCCAAGGCTGTAAATTTTTATGGAAGCAGACTGCCTCATCTTCCACAGGGTGGCTGGTGAGTTCGAACCATCGACCTTCTGATTAACACCCAAACTCCTTAATTACCACACCACCAGAACACCTTAGAAATTATATGCAGAACTGAAAAAATTATTAAATAGAATTTGTCCTATACTTTTCAATTTGGAGTTAATAATAATGAAGTTACTTAAAATACTGTTACTAAATTTTATAGCAGAAAAATGCCCTCATGCATTCTCTAAGTCAGAAGAGATTATGTCTTAAAACATTGTTGAAGAATCACAATCACCTAAAGAATTCTTTAAAAGCTCAGATGTTTAAGTCCCATTCTTAGATTTTGGTTGAGGATGGGGTCTGGGCATCTGCATTTTTAAAAAGCTCCACAAGTGTCTCTGTTGTATAGTCACAGAAGAGAAATACTGGGCTAAATGAATGACCAATTTAAGCTCCCTTCCTCCCCAGTGAAACCCAGTAGTGAGTAAAAACAGTAACAAAAACTTCAAATCCCAGCATCTTTTTTTTTTTTTTCATTTTTACATTCAACGTAACACGTACATTTAGTTTCATTCCCCATTCACCATGTCCAACCCTAACCCAGTCTCCTCCCCTCCTACCCTGTAACCCTTCCCTTGTGCCCCTCTTATTTATGCACTCCTGTTTGTCCTGCATTTCCTCAGTTTGAATGTTGGTCCTCTGGTGTCCATGTCTATTGCTCTAAGGGATGTATGACCATAGAGTATGTGGGTGCGGCATCCTGCGTTGAGTGGTCTGCGTGTACATCTTGTTAACTATTGGGCTGAGAGCCTGCCCCTGGGGGTGAGTTTTATTCCAGGTGCAGAATGTATTCCAGGGCCACAGTACTGGGAGTCTCACCAGACAAATCTCAGCATCGTAAGGGCTCGATTTTACTAAGCATATTTAGGAAGAAAGGTAAAATATTCTCCTGATAATACTAAATAGAGAGCTTCACTACGTATCCATCACCTTCACCTGTGACCCAGAACTCTGAAAAAGAAACACAAGCTGACTTTTGAAAAATCCAACCCAGGCTTTGACTACCAACTTCTTACACTGAAGCAGCCTCAGAAGCCAGACTTCTTCAAATGAAAGACTAAAACCACTCTACATACCACTTGTAGAACTGCAACAAAAGGACTTTAATGTAATACCTGATTTAAACATCACTTGTGACATCAAGAGATCATGTAAACTGCTGATATTGTCCCAGCCTGGCAGAAAAACCAATATGGCACCATCCTGTATGGAGGAGAAATAACCATTACAAAGGATCACAACAACAAAACACCAACAATAAAATTCTGTGCACACTTAAGACTTAATTAAACCTATAAAAGTTCAAGATAATTTTGATTTCTGATTATAGTAACCAAAAGAATACAAGCTCTTTTTTTTTTTTTTTTAAAAAAAGAACTTATAATCTCGATGTTTCACTTGTTTAGCCTTTTCTTCAAATAAGTGGAATGCCTTAATCCTTTAATAGTTTGATGTTCTTATTTCTGGTGTCAAAAGCAGTTTCTTTCACAGTCTTCACTAAAAACATTTAAGAAAATTATTGTTTTTTCATGGCCTTGATACATTGACAAAATTTAAATTATGTTACTTGAGGGAAAGTAAAAAAGGAACAAAACTAACCTCTTCTTCTAAAACAATGTATCGGATAAGGGCAGCGATCAAATTCAGATCAACTTTATCATCATCCATCATTTCTAAAACATCTACAGTACTTGCAGAATACCTATCAAAGTTGAATAAAAAAATTACAAAATATTTGAAAGACAGATTATATATCATGATAAAGTTCTTGTGATTTAAATTGCTATAAACTCTTAATAGTTAACCACATCTGCAAATAGAGGAATGTAATCTAAAGGTAAGAGAATTACTAGGTAATAGTATTTAAAAGTCAAAAAAGCATAATATTTAGCTGGTATATGGGATCTGCAATGTCACAGCTTAAGTACGAATTCAAAAAGACAATCCCTGCTTTTAGTTTTACTCAAACAGCCACTGTAATCTCACTTTGAAACAAGTTAGATTTACCTTCTTTGCAGTTCCCTTATATAATCAGGCCAACGTTCTTTATAGATTGCTTCTTTTTCTTCTTTTTCTTGCCTGTTTACATGCCCTTGCATGAAACCCCTTTTAAACAGGGATCTGTGTTCTTTTTGTTCTGGAACATACCTAAAATAAGAACATTTCTAAATAACTTCTTTTTCAAAGTTTTTGGTTTTAGTTAGTATCTGACACAACATTTAGGATTAAAACAACAGGATTTTAAAGATGATTTTTCACTATATTTTCTAGTTGAATGCTTGTTAAAATATCAATTTAACTGTAAGAATTAATTTATATATAAATATCTGACACTTAAGATAAAAATCTTTCTACTTTATTACATAGACCACTAGACCATCTTTAGCAGTCCAGCAATAGTAACTCTCACCTCCAATTTTAACTCTGCTTTCAAAACACAAGTTAATATTAATTAGGAGTCTGATATAACAGTTAATGATTGCCTACCAGAAAGACTCAGATTTTAAATACAGGAGGTTCTCAAACCTGACTGCACATAAGCTCCCTGGGAGCCTGTAAAATTAGATTCCTAAATCCGATCCTTGGTGATCTGGATTTAGGGCTGGTACATACTAATGTAAGAATTTTAATTAGTGCACCAGGAGATTCAAAGAGTATCCACAGACCTACAGACCCACGCTTAAAAGCTATTTAATTCAGCTTAGTCACACAGTTAACAGGTACCGGCAGAGTCAGAATCAGCGGGCAAGTCTCCTGTGCATCAGTCCATGCTATACTGACTCTAACATGCTGTAGTGACTGCTCAAAACAGAGGACACATCTGCTCAAGAATGCTACCAACCACAGTGGGCTCTCAGAAGCCTGGGGAGTGGGGGGAGATGAAGAAAAAGGCACCTGCTCTTTAATCCAGATTCTCTCCAAATCCAGCCTAGAGGACAGCATCCAAGACAACAGAGGGGTTCAGGGCATGGGCTTTGGAATCAGACAGAACTGGACTAATGCCCTTGCCATTAACTAACGGTATAACCTTGGACAAGTGACCAAACCACTGGCCTTTAGTTTCCTTGAGAGATTAATACTCTCACAAATATTACTGAAGGTAAAAATGTGATATAGTGCCTAACACATAGGAGAAACCCAAAAGAGTGTTAATCCCCTTCCCTATTCAGTACTTGCAACCCAGGACTCCCCTAAATCTTCGAAACATTTAGAGGCACCAACTTGAAGTAGGGTAACCTGAGACAGAGACTGGTCCTAGTCAGCAGGATGGACCCACAGCTGGCTCCCATCCCAGCAAAATTCCAAAAAAAAAGTAATCTTCAGTACTATACCCCAAATCCCCAATCACAACCCTCCATATCACTTCATCCTACTCTCACTCTGGCCATGATGTTTCCTCCTTCCTACTACCACAGCTCTTCCTCTAGGAAGGGGATAGATAGCTCGGGGCTTCTGATGAAAATCTCTTCATCAAGAACCATCCTCCCTCCTTTGATTCCCCTATTAAGGCTAGTTAGGGGACAGCAAGAATGTGACACCATCCCTTTTTTTCCCCACAGACGCCTTAGTTACAGTTTCTTGTACAGTCCCTGCCTTTTAGGAAAGTTAGAAAAGCAACTAACCATTAAGGTCAGATTTATGATACCCAAAACTGCTTTATTGTCCAGCTGTTGCCTATTCTCTTAGAAAACAACTGGTAAAGTGCCATGATAGAAAGCAGGACATATTAAGGAACATGAAGATGAAAAGGAACTGCATGGAAATTTATAGCCAATGATGAAAAAACTAGGGCACAGAAGACCACTACATGCTGTCTCTCTCATTTAGCATATACCATCTTCTATGACACGTTTCCTCCTTCCTCTTCTCAATTTCCCTGCTTCTTGACTTACCCAGTCAGTTCCTGTTATATTAATTTAATTGCCAATACACTCTTTACTTCCCAAAAATAGGTCAATCATACTTTATATAATAGCCTATATGTCTCCCTGTCTAGACAGCCCAGATGTCTCTGAGGGCATATAGCAAGTTTTTCCCTGTTTTATGCTCAGTCCCTAGCTCAGTGCAAGATATAAAGCTTAATAAGTATTTGTTATAGAAAAGAAGGAAGAAAGGTCAAAATTCAGCTGACTTTTCTCCATGTAAACTAAGTTGTAGGATCTCTATTCTCACTTTCCCACTGTCATTTAACAAAGGGAGCTGTGGAGTCTTGAAACATCTCATCCTAAGTGTTCCAATCTCTCTCCTATTTATGCAGATATGTTTACTGTAGGCCAGGCACTGTGCTAGACAATAGTTCCAAACAGAAAAGGACAAAATCCTTGACCTTGAAAACGTTGAAGTCTCGTGCAAGTGGCAAATATAAAGTGATATATACTACATGGCAGCAAGGTAAGTGTAAGAAATATACCATGGGTGTCCAGATGAGAATGGTATCATATGTGAGAGGTATCATAGAAGGCTTAACAGGCAATAAAGCTGAAATTTATTCTTACAGATCAATAGTTTACAGATAAAAGGATGGAGAAGACAGCAAGTGGGAGTCTAAAAAGAGGAAATCATATGTAATAGGCATGAAGTCATGAATGAAGGGGACTGGCCTGGCATATTAGAGAATAGTACACATTTAGCATGAGCAGGCTACAGGATTCATGACTGGGAGATGAGGCTAACAAAAGACGGAGCCTGATTATAAAGGGCTTTGGGATGACTAGCTACAGAATTTGGACCTTGTTCTACAGACCTTTGTTATCCCAATCTTTTTTTCTATCAAGGAATACAAATATTATTTTGCAGAGCCTTCTGGAGAAGGCTGCCAGGAGCTAGCAGCCAGTGGCCAGAGGATTAAGAAAATCAAAACTTTGGGCACACCAGTTACCATGCTCTACTATAGTTAATGAAGAACTAATAGGTTTTTAAATCAATTTTTAAAGAGAAATCTCATGCGCAAAGCCGGCCCAGGGGAGAAAGCTCACATGACCAGATTTGTTTTTAAGAAAAAATATATGGTAGAAGTCGGGGAAGAAACACGGCTGAGAATGAAGACCTTAAGAACAAAAATGTAGCCTGAAGTAGAAGAAATAAAAATAAGAAAGCATGTTTAAGGACCTGAAGTAAGATATAAAACAAGAAATCATGTTGGAAGAGAATGTGCTGAAGCAAACTCAAGAGAAACCCTGTGTGATGAGAAAGAGTACAGAAGGACTTAGAGTATATTGTATTGGTTCCTCATCTCAGCATGTACAGCCATTAGCAGACCCTCACTGATTGATAAATATTAACTCTTTTATATTTTAGAAATCTAGATGGTGAATAAAATCAGTAATTATTATAAAGTATACTGGACAAGAAGCAGTGGTATTTTTTTGAGGAAGTATAGTGGGGTCTGAAATATAAGATAATAACAATGGCTTGAAAAATGTTAAGATCTCTGTGGTACTGGTATGCTGCTCAGGAGAGAACTATAGTTCTAAAATCTGTGAAAACATAAAACTATGGTCAAGGAAATAGATTACACAGTGAAAATATGAAAGACTGCAAAAATGAACATTACAGGGAGATTGCATTTAAAAAGCTGGCAATGGAAGCCAGCAAAGGAGGATGAAAATCAGGTAGAAGGAGAACCAGGAGACAGGTTTAAGCACTTAAGAAAGAGGTCACCAAACTGCGGTGCCCGTTAAAATCACCCAGGTTCTTTAAAAAATGCTAATACCTAGCTACCACCCCAAGGCACTGTGACTTAACTGAAGTAGGGCATGTGAACTAGGCACTTGGATTTTAAAAAGCTCCCCATAATTTTAATGTGCAGTAAAGTTTAAGAACCCCTGAGTCAAGGAAAAGGGACATTTTAAGTTTTAGAAAGAAGTGGTCAATGGTGAGTTCCTGAGTCTCTAACGTTTGGCATGAGAAAGATGATATATTTAATATTTATTTGATTTCCAATATTACTTACTTTACTTTTTCAATTATATCTTCCAAAAGATATTCCACAACCGGAAAAGTAAAGCCAGGTATATGTATCATTGGACAATTACCTGTTACGTAAAAAAAAATAAACAGAAATCTGTACTCAAAAGTTGAAAACAGAGAAAGACATTAAATCACCATACTGTAAGTAAAACTTGAATGAGATAACACAGCACTCTTCATTACTACTCATAACTTCAAAAAAAGGTCCCTGAATATTTTACAGTTCTACCTTGTTTTTCCATATCTAATTTAAATAAAAATAGTAATATTTCTTTGAAGTTTTATAAGATCTTGGAAAATATCTCATTTTATACAGAAACTCAAGCCCTCAGAAATGTAACAATTTCTCTGGGATTATACAATAGAAGGCAAAAAAAAAAAAAAAAAGTTGAGCAGAAGGTCTCAACTCACAGTTTAATGGCTAGGTTATATTTTCTCTTTATTCTTAGTCAAAATGGTACCACATCAGAAACTAAGTTTACTGAAATCTAGGTAAGAAGCATTATTTCTTGTGGCACCCAGAATTAAGGAAAGAAGCAGTTAGAAAGTAACATAATTAAATATTAAATTGCTTTTCACTGAATTATTGTTTCAAAATCACTAAAAAAAAAAAAGTTTAGTACCATTACAGAAATACTATTTCTCTCTCATAACAAGAACAAGTAATATACCCTATAAACAAAATCAACACTGCATCAGAGGTCAAAATACCTGAGCTAGTAATTACAGCTCTACCTTTCATAAATTTAAGCAAGATACTCAATCTTAGTTCTAGGTGTCTTATTTTAAAAAAAAAAAAAGAGTATCACCTGTCCTAACTTACCTTGCAAGATGTTGAAGGTTAATTAGGATACATCTTAAAAGACTCTTTAAAAGCTGAATACAAGAACATTTACTGAACATAGCTGTATTACTTTTTATCTCCTCACCTCTCCTTTTACTTTCCCAATATTATAAGTAGAGACACTGTGGCATAATTACAAAAGCATGTACTTTACAGCAGGACAAATCTAGGATCAAATCCTCTTATCTGCCTGTTAATTATGCAACCTAGGGTAAGCTTCTTAACTACTCTCAGGCTATTTTCCATTCTGTAAAAATGGGAATAAAAATAGTACCTATCTCACATGGTTATTAGAATTAAAGAAGATAAAGTGTCAAATATACTACCTGGCACACTGTAGGTGCTCCATAAGTGGTCACTAGTATTCTTATTATTATTAGCAAACTGCCATACTAGCCTGTAATAGTACATAAAAGCCATGTAAGAATCACAAAACATGTTTCTAAAACCACAGAAGAATCACAAAAAAATGTATCTAAAACCATTCAGATTTGTGGCTTGGAGTCAATGATGCCATCTTAATTGTCTCGTAGGAAAAGAGAAGCTGTATGTCTTCACTAAAACAGCAGTGATGATGCCACCATTTTTAATAGGTACAATTCTCTAATCTGTAAATTAGGATAATATTAAAGTAAAATGAGTTACTAAATTTTAATATTCAGGTAGACTACAAATGCAATGCTTAAGTATGTTAGTATTTGTTACTCTAAATGAAGTGGTTTTGAGATACCTTTGCTAAAGTAAGCATCATAAATTTTACTCACCAAAATACTCTGAAAATTTCTCAGCATTCAATGTGGCACTCATCAATACTACTTTCAGATCAGGTCGCGAAGTGAGAAGATCTCTAATCACAGTCATTAAAACATCTGATTGTAGATTTCTTTCATGGATTTCATCAAGGACTATGTGACTCACACTGGATAAATGCCTGAAGCAGAAGTGAGAAGCATGTAGTTCAGCACAAAACAGAAAACTAAACCAGAAGAAACTATCACAATTAGTGAAATCTAATTTAATAATTACATCTTTTGATATATTTAACTTAATTTCCTTAAGTGAAACACACTCACGGATCTGACTGGAGCCACTGAAGGATGATTCCTGTTGTACAGTATAAGATAGAACCTTGTTTCCTGGGCAACCGACTATGAATGAAAGACATGAATTAATAATTCTTGATTTTCTTTTCCAATCATTTACTAAGTACCACAAAAGTTTCAATTTCAGAAATTTTTAAATTAAAAGCTTCTTATTTATTTTTTTAGTTATGCAAACACCTATCACAGTAGCAGGAAACACTACATTGAAGTTCATTACACATTATTTTAATTGTCATGATACAATATTAATGATTTATTTTTAAAGGCATACTATTCGACTACTAACCAGAAGGCTGGCAGTTCAAACCCACCAGCCACTCCTCAGAAGGAAGGTTAGGCAATCTAGTTCCACAGTGATACTGACTCAGAAACCCAAGGAGGGGTTGCTACAAGTTGAGCCGACTCGCCAGCAGTGAGTTTGGTTCTTTGTATTTGGAAAACAGCTGAATTACTCACAGGCCTAAATTTTTGGTTCAGTGATTGGAAAGACTGCTCATTAAAAAGATAAATGGAATCTTGAGCTCCAGAAAATGGTTAGAGATACACAATGGAATAAGAAGGGGGTTAAAGACCAAATATTCAGCTGGCAAAATAAAAAGGCTAGGGGAGTAGGTGGGTGGTACTAAAAGGTACAGCATACCAATGCCTTTCAGGGAGAGTGATGGTCTACTAATCGAAGTCCAGGAAAAAATCATTTTTAAAATCATTCCAAAATGTAAAAGCACATTTTAAAATGGTAATACAAATCTGAGTTTGGGTTAAAAAATGAGTTTGTGGGTTCCTAGACTCCATGTGCTATGGTGCAATTCCTTTAAACATCAATTCCAATAGCAAAATCCAAAGTAAAAATAGGAAAAAGTATCCTTTTTTCTGATTTCCAGCTTCAAAGTTTCACTAAAATATACCAGTAAACAAGAAGTGAACTCTTTTACCTCTGGAGACGAATTTGGTATCCAGTACTGTTACCATTGCCACAAGACTCTGCCCTTTCTGCAGCCACTCGCTCTGCAACCTTTAATTCAAATACAACAGTTACAATGAAAATACAGTTTCTGTTTGGACAAATATCCTGAACATCAGTAAAAATTTGGAGTTGCTGAAATATTATTCTTCAGGTTTCCAGACAACTAAAACAAACAAACAAACAGCACAGGTATATATTAAAATCTGAGGTACCTACATCCGTGTGTGCTTTACTTAACAGCTGCTCACTACTTCCTTCTCAGGCTTATTTTTCATTTCCTCCGATAATGCCGTTTCCTTCAAGGCCAAATTTTCTTTCATCACTACTTTTAAAGGATCTTTCTATAGAAGACCTTGGTAATTCTACCTTTCTTTCCGTCTTACTAAAATAGTTAGAAATCATAGTCTACCTTGTTACAGTTATGTGTAATTTGAGGGAGAATAGGTGCTACTGTTTGCTGCTGGGTAAAGATCAATGCTGCTTAATATCTAGTTCTTGGTTACATTCTAAAAGCTATGGCTCCAAAAATGAGCTCTGAAAATTACTGTAATATAATAACAATGTGTGTATGTAAGATGACTGTAACCAACAGTCATCATGTGACAGGACAGTGATTCATGTGGTAAGAAACAGAATGGCATGATTAATTTCAGAGAAATAATCTCAGAAGTAAAATTTTCCTGTCAATGTATCTAGTATATACTGATTTAGACTATCAGTTCATTTTTCACTACATTAAACTGCTCAACTTCTAAAAAGATCTTGGAAAAATAAGCAAAAGTAACCAAGTCAGCATTTTGCCTTACTGTCAATATATACAGTAGCTACTACTGAAGTGAAAATTTTAACTATAGATTTGTAACTTCTATCCAACTACAAAAATGTGCTATGATAAAGTGATTTATTTTTCACCTTTTGTGTTCTTATACAGTTTCTAGGAATATGATCTTTCTAAAGGGATAAAGACTGTCATTCTACTTTGTTCACAGTATTTCTTAGAAACTATGGCTTAAAATGTGTATCCCCCACTAAAAATATTGCCATAATTAGAAATATAATTCCTGAACACATATTCTACATTAAATGACTCAGAGATATGATGAACAATTTATCATAACACCAAAGACAATTTTAAATCTTCATAATTTAAATTTATGCACTGAATTTTGTAGGATGGATATAAATTCACTTTACACAATGAATGTTACAAGAAATCCCAAATATCCTTAAATTCAACTACATCATGTAACTAAAAACAAAAACATTATTCATAATAAACATAAATATGTATATAACTGTGTATTTGTGCTTGCCTTCTTCAAATTTAGGACTTATGAAAGATTAAAAATTAACCTAGATTGCATTAAAAAGCAAACAAGATAAATGTGAAATAATGCCTTATTTTTCCTCTTGACAAAATTTCTCTTATTGAAGAGCTGCATTCAGAAATAATTATCCATCAGAAATGTAGTTTTAAAAATAGGTAAGGCTAAAAGGAAGGAGAGAATGGTTATAAATGCTGAAGAATGTAATCAATGTCACTGAATTGTACAGGTAGAAATTGTTGAACTAGTATGTGTTCTGCTATGCATATTCCAAAAACAAAATAAAATAAATTATTAAGAGAAACACTCAAAATTTCCATCTTTCACTATGATTCAGTGCTTATGTACGAATAAGCACATTCCTGGGAACTGAAAACAATACTGAATGAATTAAGTAATAAAAGTGAAAGCATCTAATAATGAATACTACTTGTGGCTTATAATCAATTATTTTTCATTCTTTTGGTTTTATACTGAAAGTTGCTTGGATTTATAATTTATCTTAAACTCAAAAACATTTAAACACCTATTACCTGCAGACAGAAGTCACTCATCAACCTTTCAGCCTTTGTTGTTGACAGTGGGTCCTGTCAAGTCAATTATAACTCATAGCAACCCTTTGTGACAGAGTAGAACTGCTCCATAGGGTTTTCTTACTATAATCTTTACAGAAATAAATCACCCAGTCTTTCTCCTGTGGAACTGCTGAGTGAGTTCCAACTACCAACTTTTCAGTTAGCAACAAAGCAGTTAATCATTGTTCCAGTAGGACTCTTTCTTTTAGCCTTTACTACCAAATACTTGCTTCCATAGTAACAAATCCTAAATCTAATCAATCCTTCAAGATCAGTAAATTAGATTGAAACTATCTAAAGAAGAATGAAAGATAAAGGAAGAGAATTCTTAAAAGTGATGGATCACTTACTGAAATGGCACTGATTCTTCTTGGCTGAGTACAAACTATCCTGCATGCAGATCCTTTTCCTCTTTCAATGTAGTTATCCAAAATGAACTGAGTAACTTGAGTGGTTTTTCCACAACCAGTTTCACCACTTATTACTGTTACCTGATGGTTAGCAATCAAATTTACCAATTCCTATTCCAAAAAGGGAAATAAAGTAAAAAGCCATTACATGTTGACTAGTCTGAAAATACAGTAATCAAAATTTTTCCAAGCTGAAGATAGTAATTTTTAACAAAGATAATCAATGCTTTTAAAAGTTTGTTAAATACAGTGCTGGCAGTCTGGTTACTCTATCAACCAGTTCACAAGAGGTAAACAGCGCCAAGTTATAAAGAACAGAGCCAGAGTACTGTTTAAGAAAAACACATTACAAGAGTAAGAGACTGACAATAATTTAGTTTCATACACAAGAATTAAAATTAATTTAAAAGAATTTTGACATTTTGGGTTACTGAGGACAGAGGTAAACCTTCTGATACCTATACAACAATTAAGGACATCAATCATCTGTATTGCTATTTATAAATATGACTTTACTCTCAGGACAAGTTTTGTACACTGTTTTAGAGAACAAGGAACAGTATAATTTAAGATTATTTCCCCTAAAGATAAAGTTTTTAAATACCTAAATCAAATGGGTATAATTGCAGATATATGTAATACTTCCTATTTGGGGAATATCTTTCTTAGAAATTTTAGATAAATACTAGCATTTTTAGTATTAAAAATCTTCATAATTATTAACAAAACCAACCACCAGAGCTCCCTATAGTATTTAAAAAAACCACTGTACTACTTCAGAGAGGTATTATGTATTTTTTCATTTATAAAACAATTAACTTGAAATGCTTCCTTTTAAAAATTTTCCATTCCATTATACATTATTTCAAAACAATTTCTGTATCTGAACACTGAAATTATAGCTGGCAATTATTTAGAAGAGGAATGTGATTCATTCATTCAATAAATACTTTATGGATGGCTACAGAATGCCATACTTTGTTCTTAATCAAGAGATGGAGAATTGGAAAAGTAGACACTGTCCTTAGGAAACTTACATTGGTCTAGGAGGGGGAGATACACAGACATTCTCAGTTACTAATAAATGCTAAGGAAAGTAAAGAAAAATAGAGCTGGACTGGGAGGATAAAGAAGGATGAGGTGATTCTGTGATGAAGCATAATGAATGAATTAAAACACTATATACTGAGTTTCTGGTAAGATGGCAGAATAGGCAGACAAACTACACGGACTCTCTTTAACAAAGAAAAGGGGAACCAAATAACACAGATACAGAAGATAATCCTGGAGCCCTGAGCTTTGAAAGGAAGGATACAGAAGTGGACTAATCTCCAACTAATAGAAGAACCTGCATGAAAACACTGAAAAGGAGACATACTGAGCTGCGGTCTGTCAGCAATCATGACGGTGCAGACAGCTTGGATACTGCCAAGTGGTGTTAGGACCTAAGAGTTAACCTAAACATCGGCCCTGCCAGCCAGGGGCAGCACGCAGGAGTACACTGGTGGCTGGTGAATAAAATGGAAAGTAGCGAAGAGGGAGATGGGCTGAGCTGTGGACTTTCGGCTGTCCGGAGGAGGTAGTCATTTTGAATGTTTATAAGCAGTTTGTCCATTTTGGATATTTAAAGCGAGAGCGTGCTCTCAAATTCCAAGAACCTAAGAATAGGCTCCACTTGCCAGGGACCACAAGCACATTCTGGGCACAAACTAATGGAAAGGTGCAAAGTGCCTCTTGTTACTCTTATGTCCTACACCCTCTTGGTGAGCAGAGTTGCAGACATCCCTCACTCCCACCCACCTCCTGGGCCAGCAGGAATTCCATCCCAGTCTGTGTGCTCTGATGGAGCATGGGTGCCATGCCCCACCCAGATTTTTTGTTTTCCTATTTGTTCAGTTCATTCGTTTTTGTCTCTTTTAAAATTATTATTATTACTCCATACTTTTTATTATTATTCTGTATTCTTCCCTTCCCAGGTTCTAGTTTTCAGCTTTTTCTCACTTACCTCTTTCTGGTTCCCATTTTTTCTTTCTTATGGTTCTCCCCATTCCTTGTTATTCATTTTACATATTTCCCACTTTTTTCTTCATTATTCTCCTACTCTGCCTCTTTTCGCTTATTGCTCACTCCCCAGATATTGCAGGTTTGTTTTTTTCTTCTTTTAGTGATTTTTCCTGTGTGTTTATGTGGTATGTTTTTTGTCTGCGTACTTTCACTTTTTAAATGGTTTTTCGATTGTTGTTTTTGTCTGAGAGGGAGAAAGCAAATGTGCCCATGTGATGCAACCACACTCACATCTCCTGCAGCTCCACTTACTGAAAGCCACAATTTCCTTGTCCAGCAACTGGGCAACAATAAACGAAGAGCCTCACTCACCCTCAACTGCTCTTCACAAACAGTTAACAGAGATCCAAATACAAAAACGTCATGCTGTCTCTGTCTCCCAGACAACAGACCACCACAGTCTATACAGAGCAGCAAGATAAAGTGGTAGAAACAAAGAAGCAGGATACAGACCCATAACACATTCTTGGGAAAGAAGCAGCAATGGAACTCCCTGATAAAGAATTCAAAAGAACTGCACTTAGGTATATTCCAAGGACTGAGAGACAAATTAAGGAATACACTGACAAAACTGAGGAAAACACAGAAAAAACCTTAGAAGAATTCTGGAAGAAAATACAAGAACAAAATGACAAAATAAACGAAAAATTAGAAATGATTCTAAATCTACAGATAG